GGAGACGCCTGTCCCTTTTTTTAAAATTTATTTTTGACACAGGAGCTTGCTAAATTGCTGGTGTTAAGCTCAAATTTATGATCCTCCTGCTGTAGTCTCCCAGTGAGTTGGGATTGTAAGTATGCACCACCGTGCCTGGAGAACTGCTGTTCTAAGATTCACAGTATCCCTACACATCTCATTACAGCCTACCATCATATAATATGCCACCCTTTAAAATTCGTTAATGGGACTGAGTATATCTTTTAGTGGTGGAGCACATGCCTAGCTGGCTTGAGGTCCTGAATCCAGTCTCTAGCACCACTCAAATACAGTCTGATAACTGGAAGAAAACTTAAAGTCCTGTATTTTCCTTTGAGTTTCCATCTGGAATCATTTTCCTTTAGCCTAAAGAGCTTTCTTTAATACTTTGCATATTTCTAATTTGCTGGTGATGAATTCTCTCAGCTTTTATTTATTTGAACAAGTTACTTATCAACTGGTCCAGCTCATGCCTGTAATCCCAGCACTCTGGGGGCTGAGGCAGGAGATTTGTTCGAGACCAGCCTGTACTTTATCACGAGACCTTGTCTAGAAAAAGAAAAAAGTTATTTCTCTTATCCCCTTTAAAAATATTTTTAGTATAAATTCTATTTTGGCAGAGCAAAACTGAACAAGAAATAGATTAAAGGCATTTGGAAGCGAGACTCCAGAGCTTATGTGTACTCCTGCTGCCTATGTGGATAGCCTCCCCAGCTGTCAGCATCTGGCATCAGAGAAGTGCATTGTTATGATAGATGAACCTCCACTGATGCTTAATTATCACCCAAGGACCATAATAGTGGGATTTGTTCTTTTTTTTTTTTTTTTTGGCGGAACCAGGGTTCGAACTCAGGCCCTTGTGCTTGCCAGGGAAGTGCTTATTCCACTGAGCCATCTCCCCGCGCACCGCCCCCCCCCCCTTTTTTTTTTTTTTTTTTTTTTTTTTGCGAAACTGGGGATTGAACTCAGACCCTTATGCTTGCCAGGGAAGCGCTTATTCCACTGAGCCATCTCCCCGGCCCCTTGGGATTTGTTCTTGATATTGTACATTGTATGGCTTTTGACAAATACATAGTGACATTTTCGCCATCGCAGAATCATACAGAATAGTTTCATTGCACTAAACATCTTATGTTTGCCAAGCAAGGTGGTATAGGCCTAAATTCCAGCTCTTTGAGAGGCTGAGGCAGGAGGATTGCAACTTCAAAGCCAATATGGACAATTTAGCAAGGCCTTGTCTCAAAGTAAAATTCAGAATGCAGGTGTAGCTCAGTGTTCCCTTGAGCTCAAGCTCCAGTACCAGGGGCTGGAAAAAATCTGTATTCTGAATATTCATCCTGTCTTTTCTCTTGTTTCACCTTTCTACTGTCTGGCAACTACTGATGCTTTTACATGATTTGCATTTTCCAAAATATCATAGAATTTGAATCATACAGTGTATGGCCTTTTTAGATGGTCTAAAAAAAAAAGTCTCTTATTGTATGAACGTAAGGTTCCCCATATCTCATTTTAGTGCTGAATGATATTCCATTATCTGGCTATATAAATTTATCCAGCCATATACTGAAGGCTATCTTATTTTCTTCCAACTTTTGGTAGCTCTGAGTAAAGCTACTGAAAACATCTGTATTCAGATTTTTTTTAAAAGTTTTATTTTTTATTTTTTAAACTTCAAATGGGTCTCGCTACTCAGCTCAGACTTGTAGGATCCTTCTGTCTCAGCCTCCCCAGTGCTGGGACTGCAGGCGTGTGCCACCAGCCTTAATTCTGGGGCCAGTACGATATTCAGTACTAGGGATCAGATTCAGATCCTTGTGCTTGCCAGGCAGGTGCTTAGACCACTGAATTATTTCCCTAGCAAAGAGCATAATTGCTAGATTATCTGGTAGGAGTATGTTCAGTTTTTATTTTGGGTAATATTGTCACTGAATATAAAAATTCTAAATTTTCCTCCCTTTTTACACTTAAAAAGGGGAGATGGCTCCATAGAGTAAGTGCTTTCCTGGCAAGCGCAAGGACCTGACTTCAATCCCAGTACCACCAAAAAAAAAAAAAAAAAAGGATGTTTTTATATTTTCTTAATCGTAATTTTTTTTTGAATAAGAGTATAATTGTAGGGGCTGGGGAGATAGCTCAGTAGAATAAGCGCTTGCCTGGCAAGTGCAAGGCCTTGAGTTCAATCCCTGGTACTGAAAAAAAAAAAAAAAAAAAAAAAAAGTATAATTGTGGCTGAGTGCTGTATCACATGCCTGTGATTTCAACTACTCAGGAGACAGAGGCAGGGGATCATAAGTTTAGGGACAACCCAGGTAATTTAAGCTTGACTAAAAAGGGTTGGCTGGAGGTATATTTCAGTGGTGGAGCATTTGCCCAGCATGTACAAGACTCCAGATTGAATGCCCAATACTGAGGAAAAAGGAATATGATTCTTGCTTTTCTTTTTCTTTTTTGGTACTGAAATTCAAACTCAGGGCCTTGCCTTTGCCAGGCAGGTGTTGTGCTGCTGAATTACATCCTTGGCCCAGGAATATGATTGTCTTTGTTTCTCCATGTACCATAAATATTTCTTTTATCATTGGTTTTCAGAGCTTTGTGATATACTTTGTTTTTCTTTTCTTTGCATTCAGCCTGCTTGTGGTTCTCCTTCATCAAAACAAACTATTTTAGCCATTTAAAAAAAAAAAAAATCTTTTTTGTGCCATTGCTCTTTTTCCTGGAACTCCCAGTTATCTATACAGTGTTAGTTCAGTTGTCAAACTCAATTTGTTCCTAAATATGTTCAGATACTGCAGAGTTTAAAAACTGAACATATTTTTTTTTCCCATGAGAAGTAATGGAAAAACACATAAATGGTTCCGAGGCCCAAAAATTATGCTTAGAAATCATTTCCCCAGGACTTTAATTTTGCAATTTTTTCCCCTTTATCTCTATTGTGGTTCTCACTGTTTTCCTCTTAGCTTTACTGCGAGTATCACTAACTTTTTTTTTGAAGCCATAGTTACATTTTATGCAAATAAAGCTTTTAAAAAGCACAATCATCAGTGTGTGTACACTAAGACCTGTTGTCTGGGCAAGAGTAGCACTCAGACTGAAGCATCCCTTAACTGACAGTCCATGCAGGCTTTTTGGTTTGACTATGGAGCAGACTAGCAAACATTGAGCAGGTTTTGTTTTGTTTGTTTAACTTTGCTGTTCAAGTAGGGGAAGTTAGGGCTGGGAGCTATTTGACAGCAAGGGTATCACTGTACATTGTTTGATTACTTGACTGTTAAAGCAGTCAGTATTCCCCTTTTCCTTTGTTCTCCCTGAGCTTCAGTTTGCAGTGTTTGTTGCCCTCTCATTAGAGTCCATTGATCTTGCTCTCTGTTGTACCTAACCAGCTAAGTTCATCTAGTAATACTAATAATTTCAGGTATGTTTTTAAACTGCAAATTTTGCTTGTTGCAGTTTTAATTTCTTCATTGTGTTCATGTTTTCTTTTACATCTTTGAAGTTGTTTAAAAAAAAAAAATTCTTTTTGAACTTTAGACCTTCCTTAAAGGCATCCTGAGCCAGCCTCCCTCTGCAAAAAAAAAAAAAAAAAAAAAAAAAATCCTTCTGAAGTTGTTTAATAATTGTCTCCTTATTCCAACCTTCTTTTTGTTTGTAAGCCTCTTTCCACTGACTGACTTCTCTGTGCTTTGGGGTTAATGTTTTCATGATTCATGCTTTTAGTAATTTACAGATAAACAATGGGTATTGTTTGAGTTATATTGTAAAGTCTGGGTTTTCTTACTTTCCTTTTGGAAACTTGCTTTGTGGATCAGCTTCTTTTAAGACTTGTTCTTAGTCATGTTGGGTTCAGAGTAATCTTTTTCTCTAGGGTAATGTGCAAGGTGTAGCCTTTCTGTGATCTATGCTGAAAGCTCAGATATAAATGTGTGATTCTCTTCACTTTAGATGGCCAGCTCTTGCTAATACCTTTATCTGAGATTTTTGAGGCTTGTCAACTTATAACTCATTTCAGAGACCCTGAATTTATCTTTCTGCCTTTTCCCCCTTTTCTTTTTCCTCCCCTTTCTCCTTTACTTAAAAATTAAAAAAAAATTACTCTGTTTTCATTGCTGGGGATTACATCCAGATCCTGGCATTGAACTGTATCCCAGTCTGCCCCTCTTTTTATTTTTTATTATTTATTTATTTATTTTTGTATTTTAGGGAAGGGTCTACAGAGTGTTCAGGGTCTCACTACTAGATCAGAGTCATAGTGATTCTCCTGTTTACAGCCTTCCAAGAGCTGGGATTGTAGGTGCGCACCACCATGCCCAGTCTCATTTGCCATCTCAGTACACACCGGGAGTGGTGCCAACACGGCATGCCAGGGATCAAGCCCCGGCCACTGCACTCTGCCTAAGCAGGCACTTTAGTCCAATGAGCTATCTGGCTGACCCTACGTGAATATTCTTTGGACATACATTTATTCATTCTCTCTGTCTCTCTGTCTGTGTCTATCTGTTTCTCTTTCTCTCTCTGTCTCTGTCTTTCTGTGTGTGTGTGTGTCTTTTTTTGTGGCTGGCTCGGTTTACCCTGGGAGTGGGGCTGGTGCACCATGTGGTGCCAGGGATTGAACCGCAGTCCCTGCGCTTGCCTAAACTTGCCTAAGTAGGCACTTTAGTCCACTGAGCTATCTTGCCAGCCCCATTTTCATTTCTTTTGAGTAAATGAAGTAAAATTGCTGGATCATAGGGTATTTTGTTTAGCGCTTTAAGAATCAGCTTCCCAAAATAGCACCTTCCTATTTTGCAATATATGAAGATTCTGTAGGAATTTTTTTATATAGACAGTTACCTAAGGCTAATACTGCTTGTGTGTCATAAGCCTGTTGTAGAAAATTATTTGGATATTGTGTACCTTACCATTTTAGGCTTTTATCTCTGATTTGTCCTCTTAACATTTTCTTATTCTTATGCATTATTTTTTCTTTTGTTTTGCAGTCCTAGGGATTGAACCCAGGGAGTTTTGCATACCAGGCAAGCATTTTACCACTGAACTACATTTTTAGCTCCCCTTTTCTTGTGTTCCTAATGAAATAATTCAGTCAAAGCCCTATCTTTGGTCCAGGCATAGTAGATGAAAAAACAAATAAGAATTGCTCTTCGGACAACATTGCCCTGAAGCACACAACAGGTGTTTTGAGGTATCAGTCTTTGGATCTCTTTAGCAAACCCTAGTCTTTTAGCAGGTCCTACTCTAACTTGAATAGCTAGAACTTCATGTACCTGTCCTTAACATTTTATAATTGCATTCACCTAGTAGTTAGAAAGATGTCTGTGGGCCAAGTCTTTATTTTTTCTGACCCATACTTTCATCTTTAGGTTCTTCATTTAGATTTTAATCCCCTCAAAGGTCAACTAACTGTATGTTATATATAGTACAGAGGGACTAGCAAAATTTAGCCTTCAGGTAAATTTTCATTAATTCACAGTTTACCAATTAAAAGAGGTATAACTGATCAAAAGAAAAAAGAGAAATAAAACTTATTCCTGTTTTTCAGGAAGTTCGACCTAAATAAATAGCCAGATCCATAATGTAAGAATACAGTGATAATCCCAGGTCTGCCGTGCTGACCCTGCCCCCAGGGCACACTGAGATGGCAATTGAGACTGGGTGTGGTACGCGCCTGTAATCCCAGATCTTGGGAAGTTATAAACAGGCAGATCACTACTAGTCCGTCCAATCTAGTAATGAGACCCTGAATACCTTGTAGATCCTAGCATAGTGACATGTCTGTAATCCCCTCACTGTGGAAGCCTGAGGAGTACTTTAAATTCAACCCTGGCCTGGGCAACTTTGTGACTTAGCAAGACCTTATCTCAAAAATCAATCAGACATACAAACTAACTTGGTTATATATAGTACAGTACATATATA